GATGACGATGACGATGAGATGACGATGAGATGACAATGATGATGACGATGAGATGACAATGTCGACGACGATGATGATGAGATAACAATGACGACGACGATGAGATAACGATGACGATGACGATGAGATGACGATGAGATGACAATGATGATGACGATGAGATGACAATGTCGACGACGATGATGATGAGATAACGATGACGACGACGATGAGATAACGATGACGATGACGATGAGATGACAATGTCGACAACGATGATGATGAGATAACAATTAGATAACGATGACGACGACGATGAGATGACAATGATGATGACGATGAGATGACAATGTTGACGACGATGATGATGAGATAACGATGACGACGACGATGAGATAACGATGAGATAACGATGACGACGACGATGAGATGACAATGATGATGACGATGATGATGAGATAACAATGAGATAACGATGATGACGACGATGAGATGACAATGATGATGACGATGACGATGAGATGACAATGATGATGAGATAACGATGACGATGAGATGACGACGACGATGAGATGACAATGATGATGACGATGACGATGAGATAACGATGACGATGATAGGACTAACCTGTGTGCGAGGGAACGACGGCATATTGTCGTTAACATCGTCAACAACGACCGTCAGCAGCCTGTACGCCTGATACGGAGGATTCCCGTTGTCCTCGGCAACCAGCTCCAACTATACAAACAATAGCAAAGAACAAGCGAACATCAGTACGAATAAACAAGTGAACATTACTATTTATGGAAGAACAAATGAACGTTATCATGAAAGAACAAATGATCGCCACTACAGAAGAACACATAAACGTTACTTCAGACGAACAAACAAATGTTACTAATTAAAAAAATAAATGAACGTTACCAAGGAAGAACAACCCCCCCCCCCGCACGAGCGAGCGAGCAGGGACGGTAACCGTGGTAACAACGACGACGTACCTGGTAGCTGGCGTGTGTCTCGCGGTCGAGGCGTGCTCGCGTGCGCAGCATCCCCGTTCGCTCGTCGATGACAAAGTCTCGCGTCGCGTTGACGACGATGCCGCGGTGACGCAGCGCGTAGCGGATGCTTGCTCCCGCGCCGTCGTCGTCGTCCGCGGCAACCGCCGTCACAATGACGAAGCCAGCTGTCTGATTCTGTGTAGAGGAAGAAGAGGAGGAGAGGTTAGAACAGAGGATGAGCAGGAGGAGGAGGAGGAGGAGGAGGAGGAGGAGGAGGAGGNTACCTCTCCTTAACCACCTCTCCTTATACAACACCCACCTCTCCTTATACAACACCCACCTCTCCTTATACAACACCCACCTCTCCTTATACAACACCCACCTCTCCTTATACAACACCCACCTCTCCTTATACAACACCCACCTCTCCTTATACAACACCTACCTCTCCTTATACAACACCCACCTCTCCTTATACAACACCCACCTCTCCTTATACAACACCCACCTCTCCTTATACAACACCCACCTCTCCTTATACATCACCCACCTCTCCTTATACAACACCTCTTTCCCTCTGTAATACCCTCCCCCCCTTTACAAAATGCCTACCCCTCCTCACCCTCCTCCCACCCTGCCCCTCCCAGACACACACACACTCACCACACACTCACTCACCAGTCAAAGTTGATCTCGTTTCCCTGCGTGTGGTAGCGGTAGTCGTCGATGATGATGACGCGACCGTTCGTAGCGTTTTGTAGCGCCCTCTGTAGGTTGCCGAGGTCGTTACGGACGCGCGCGGGAGTGTTGGTCACGACGACACGCAGACCGCTTCCATCATCGTACACAAACACCTGGTGGGGGATGTAGGAAACAGCATTAGTCTTAATATTAGTCTTAACATTGGTCTTAATATTAGTCTTAATAATAGTCTTAATATTGG